CCTTTTTTCTACAGGCCCAATACCAGAGAGTATATCTTTTTTCTACAGGCCCAATAAGAGAGAGTCTACCCAGATACAGCGCAAATTCTCTTTTTTATATTAAATGTTTTCAAAGGCTAATTCTTTAAGCCCAGCCAATTCAATTACCTGTCAAATCTGGACAGGACGGCGCAAATTCTTTCTACCAGGGCGAGGTCCCACTAGCAAAGAGGATTGGCTTGAAATGCCTGAATCTGGACGTGTATGAGGACAGATCCAGAAAGCCGTGACTGATCTGCTTTTCTGCATCTGCACCAAGAAACTATCCAGATTCAGGCTCCTAATTTGATCCTCTTTGCTAGTGGGACCCCGCCCCCGGTAGCAAGGCCGCTTGCGGCTGCTCGCCAATGGAACTGGTGAACTGCAAGGCCGCTTGCGGCTGCTCGCCAATGGAACTGGTGAACTGCCCATGACTATGGGCATCGCCACACCACTCGCGAAATGTGCGAAATGGGAATGAACGTCCCCCTAGAACATGGCTAGATGCACCCGCCAGTTGTTGTTGTTTTTTTTCCCAAAAAAAGAGAATTGTATATTGAAAGTTTGAAAGGGGCCGGGGACCCACAATTCAACCCGGAGGAATCTCTGGCAGCATTAGCCAGTTTCGCTTTTGACGAGACCCGTTTGGGACCCGAGAAACGCCTGTGTTTGCCTGTGTCTCCTGTTCCTCATCTACCACCCTACGACTGTTCCTAACTATCCAAGACGCCTGTGTTGGAGGAGCTGAGCTCTACTCGACGGTACAGGCCTATTCTATGCGCCTACTCAATTCACCTAGACCTAGGGGCAAGGGGCAAGGGGCCTGGGGAAGTGTGGAGGACAGTGAGCAGGGGGTTGGAGGAGAGAGGGGGGGGTGGGGAGAAGGCGGGGGGGGGGTCAGACTACTGAAGCTAACTGTGGGGTGCTTCTGAGTTCCCAATATAGACCTAACGGCGGTCTGACCCAGTCTGATTCGACCAGGCGGAGCAGGTCCATGGGGAGAGACTGACACTCTCCACCCTCCCAACCGCATTCAGCTTACTGCAGCTGCCCACTGAAACTGAGTGCCCTGGTTTAGAGAGGGGCGGGAGAAGGGTTGTCCATTGGACCCTTTGTGAAGTGATAGCCACGGAGTGATGACCAGTTTGCCATTGAGAGTGACGCCCGCTAATCTGTTGTCTCTCGACCAGGTCACGAGGAACCAACGTCCGCTTCTCTGATGTCGTCCCCTGCGTGCTTTCCTGATCTAATCTACTCTGATCATCGTTCTGACCCATGCTTCGATCTTGTGAAGCGTGGAGCTGTCGCTTGACCGTTGTTGATGGAAGATGATGTTGCTTCGATCTTCCCAGATGACCCAGATGATGATAGAGCGGATAACTTGAGCAACATAGCCTCTCCCGGTTCGTTGGAACCAGGTGCTAGGTATGCGTCCATGCAGAGCCCAAGTTTTGTCCCATGGGAGCAGATTGCCTACAAAGTTGAACCAGTGGCGTTCCCACCATTGCCAGATTCTCTTGGATGCGGGACAATCGCAGAGGAGATGCTCGAGGGTCTCTTCCTGTCTGTTTCCACAACGCTTGCACTTCGTGTCGACCTCCATTCCTCTTTCAAAAAGTGAAACAGAGGTGGGGACGGCTGTATGCGACAGGAGCCAGGAAAGGCCGGCAAGCTTCTGGGAGGGCAGGACAGGTAGCTGTGCCCACAGAAACCGTAAGCCTTGGTCTGAGACTGGACGCAGATCTGGCAGCTTGCGTTTGATGGTTATGGCTGCTGCTTCCAGGAGCGTTTTAAGCTGATTCAACAGGCGCTGCCCAAGCGTGGTGTTGTAGTGAGCCAGTGGGGTTTTACGCCCTGCCAGGGTGTCCCAGTAGTGGCCCAACGGGTCGATTCTCATCCGTGCCAAAGCCTGTCCCTTGAGCATTATGTCATGAGTGGGTTGGCCGTTGACACAGTTGGTATCGACTCTGATGAGCTGGGGCTGTTGATCCAGTCCTATTGCTGCTTCTCCTCGGAGGCGGAGTCTGTGCCGGCTGGGGGCCTCTCCGGTAGCTGTCCAAAGCTGAGGTTGCCAGGTGTCCTCGTCTAGCTGCTGCAGAATCCGGCAGGCTGGTTTTGGTTTCTGGTCCCCCATCAGCGTGTACCACTCCCCCACCACGAGATCCTTGGACTGCAGGAGCTGCACCAAATGTGGGGGGATGGCTTCCCGGATTTGTGCATATCTGTCTGCAATGTGTTGGATCCGCCCCAGTTTAGGCTTTAGCTGGTCTGTTGGCATCCAATCCCCCTGGTTTTCATCCCATAGGTCCTGGATCTTAGTTACTCCTTTTTCGTACCACTTCCTTCCAAAGTTACCAGGGGCTGCAGTGGCTGAGAAGGCGTGCCTGTTGATGATCACGCATTGTCGAAGATGTTCTGGCGGAGGACTTCCTCCCTCGTGCCCGCCACATTTGTCTTTTTCACGTTTCGAGAGTGGTTGTGCCGTTTCAAAAAAAAGAGTGGTTGTGGCGAGGCCCTACGGGCCCTCGCTCTTCTGCTAACCGAACGTGTAAAATGATTCTCGGCCTAGCTCAGTCGGTAAGGCACGCAAGTGGCATTCAGGAGGTCTTGGGTTCAATCCCGGCCTCATGCACCTTCCTGGGCATGCTTGGCGCCCGCCACCTAGAGATAGCCCGTTGGTCCCCCCAATTGGTATTAAAAAGCAGTCTCTGCTGATGTTGATAGGGGGAGGGGTAATCGGGGAGGCACAGCCACTGGCCACTCAGATGATGCTCGGTCCCTCTGCTACCGGCTGTCCCCTGGCCGGTGTCCCCCGTTGGGGGTTCCCTGAAGGCAATCAAGGCCACCCTGGGATGAAAAGGCCACCCGATGTCAGATTAGAGACAATGTTGAATTTACCTGGGCTGGTTAGTCCAATGATAATAGCTCAACACTCCTGAAAAAAAAAAAAAAAAAAAAAAAAAAACCGTGTAAAATGAGAATGATGAAWCTATCCAGAGGCCTAGCTCAGTTGGTAAGGCACGCAAGTGGCATTCAGGAGGTCTTGGGTTCAATCCCCATTGGCCTCATGCACCTTCCTGGGCAAGCTTGGCGCCCGCCACCTAGAGATATGTCGTTGGTCCCCCCGAGTGGCATTGAGCAGAGACTGCTGATGTTCATAGGGGGAGGGGACCGGAGGGGAGGCACAGTGACTGGCCCATCGAAGAAGCAAAGCTTGGTCCTGATGCTACCGGCTGACCCCTGCCCGGTATCGCCCACCTGCTGTAGCAGGTATCGCACCTGCTGGTGGGTGCAGCTCCCGCATGTTCCCTCGTTGGAGGCTTGAGCACGGATGTGGCTGCTACGGGGTTCCCCGTAATACTATAATGACAATAAAAAGAGGCCTGAAGATTTGGAAAAAAAAAAAAAAAAGAATGATGAACATGGAATGAAAAATTGAACATGGAATGAAAATTTGTTTTGGTATCCTGCGGCCTAGCTCAGTTGGTAAGGCACGCAAGTGGCATTCAGGAGGTCTTGTGTTCAATCCCCATTGGCCTCATGTACCTTCCTGGGCATGCTTGGCGCCTGCCACCTACAGATAGCCCGTTGGTCCCCCCAATTGGCATGAAAAAGCAGGCTCTGCTGATGTTCATAGGGGGAGGGGTAATAGGGGAGGCACAGCGACTGGCCACTCAGATGATGCTCGGTCCCTCTGCCAACGGCTGTCCCCTCGGCGGTGCCCCCCGTTGGGGATTCCCTGAAGGCTATCAGGCCACCCTGGGCTGAAAAGGCCACCGTTGTCAGATTAGACACAAGATTGAATTTACCTGGGCTGGTTATGATAATACCTCAAGGCCAAAAAAAAAAGGGAAAATTTTCGAAATGCCCCTGAAGTTTGCGTTTATTTGCGGCGTGCCCCTGTGAAGGCCGACTTACCCTGTTATGCCCCTCGGGCCTCTGAACTTTTCTGCAGGCCCCTGTCAGCACGGGGCATAACTTTCCGATATTGCCTTACTGGGCCGCTGGTTGCATTTCGTCGTCCCATCCTTGAAATGCCCTCACGAGGGGCACACATCTTTCTGTGATGCCCTTGAGAAGTGGCGGCAGTATTTCTAATTCGAAAATGGTAGGTGCTTCACGCGTCTTCTTGGCGCCATCGCCCGTGCACGCGCACGCGTCTGTGTGTGTGTGTTTGTGTGTGTGTGTGTGTGTGTGTGTGTGTGTGTGTGTGTGTGTGTGTGTGTGTTGGTGTCATCTTTTCGTTTACTTGTTTGTTGGACAGGTGGTATATGATGACGAATCGAAGGTCCTCCCTACTCCTCTTCCCTCCTCTTCCCTGGTTCCTCCCTCATCCGTCATCGTCATAGTCCTTGTCCTCCCTACTCCTCTTCCCTCCTCTTCCCTCCTCTTCCCTTCTCTTCCCTCCTCTTCCCTCCTCTTCCCTTCGTAGGGACTGCAAGTGTCAACAGCGGCGACAGGGGCATGCTGGAAAGATTGACGGTACGGGTAAGGGCATATGGGAAACCTTACTGCTGTTTCTCAACGGGCAGCCGGTAGGGGCATACTGAAAACTTGGTACCGGTACCGGTACCGGTAGGGGCATATGAAACATTTTTGAGGCCCAAACGACGCCAGGGGTATTCTGGAAACATCATTCGTCGTCAGAGGGGCACGACAAGGTAAGTCGGCCGCCAGAGGGGCACGCCGCAAATAAACACAAACTTCAGGGGCATTTCGAAAATTTAATGAAAAAATAAATATATATTGTTTTGTCTTTTTTTGTTTTTTTTGCATGTGGTGAGTGGTGGAGGGAGGCCCTATGGCTACGTAGTGGCCAAAAATGCGGCCCCTGCATTCCGTACGTTGGTAGGTGGCGTGGTTGGAGTGAGTGAGTGCGCAATCACAGTAGGACCTTTCGTACAAAGCGTCTGGACACGATTGCAGTCAGATTCGTCCTGGGCGGGCCGTAATTGTTGTCAGATGCATTTCGGAAAGTGCTACCAGTGTGAGTATGCGGGAAGAACAGTTTCCCGCCTTTCCCCTCCCCCCTCGATTCTCTTTGAACTTCGGTGCGTCGGTGGAGGTGGGAGTTGTTGCAGTTACTCTCTTTGAATTTTGGTGCGTGGGTGGCCTTGGCAGTTGGTGCAGTCTCGCCTGTCGTCTTGGGCCTTGGGCGCTCCTAGGACGAAGACAACAGCGATGGCGTCGGCGAGAGGCTGCCGCCGCCTTCTGAGCTTGAGAGGATTCTTGGTAGCTGGTCATCGCCAGAGTTTGGGAGGAGCGGGCCATGTAGGGGCAGCAACAGCAGCAGCAGCAGGAGGAGGAGGAGGAGGAGGGTTTTCACGAGTTGGGCAGCTGAGTTCTTTTGCCAGCCGATTGCTCTCCTCATCAAGCCACTCACATCCGTCCACGTGGCAGCGAACTGGTGATCGGCGGGAAATGTTGCGTCCTCCCCCGGAATCTTCCGCCGCCGGCCCCGCCGCCGCCGCCGCCGCCTCCTCTGCCGCTGCTGCTGCTGCTTCTGAAGAGGGTAGATTTCGAGGCCTCACTGCGACTGGGGCAATTCTGGGTGTTATTGCGCGCGGTCCAAGTCAACGGAACAATACGTGCGCAGCATCTCTTGGCCATGTTGACGACAACGTAAATAATAGGGAGGAGGGGGAGGAGGAGGAGGAGGAGGAGGAGGTAGTTTGCGCGGGAAACCTAGAAATTTGTGGGCGGGGTGACAAAAGGACGAAGAGAGGCAAGAGATTCAAAGGGGCTTATGGAAAATCGCGCGTAAAGAGGGGGATTAAAGAAAGGACTAGGCGGCAATTGTTTCCAACGGGGGTAAATCCTCTGCCGTTTGGTTTCAGTAATCAAGCTCGTGCGTTATAAAACAAAAAAAGGCTTTTTCAATGGGCTGTAAACGTTTTCTTTGCCCCTGTTTTCCTTCCCCTCCTCTCGCCCCTCCCGCCCCCCCCCCCCCCCCCCCCCCCCTCTTTTTTTTTCCCGTCTGTGAAGTATTTGCGATGATTACGTCTCGCTCTTGTGTGTTATAATTTCTGAAAAAAAAAAATCTGTCTCTGAGTAATTGGTGGACAATTTTTTTATATTTTTTTTCCTTCGGTAAATGTTTTCTTTTCCCTCTTCTTCTTCTTCTTCTTTCTTCTTCTTCTTCTTCTTCCTCCCCCTAGGGCGCCTCGCCCCCTCCCTTCTTTGAGTCTTTGCGCTGATTTTGGCTTGCTTTTTTTTGCAAAAATACAAAACAGGAGATGATTGATTCTATTATTACTAACTGTAGAATCCTCTTCTCCCGTGGCTGCGTTCTCATCTGGAAAAAAAGAGGCAGAAAAACGAAAAGTGCAGCAGGAAAAGAAGAGGGCGAAACGACAGGGATCCCAGTCCCGTTTGCTGTGTGCGCATTGCGACATACCCTATTCTGTCCTCTCGTCTTGTCTTTTGGACTCTGGCGGGGAGAAGGACAGGATGTATGCCGTGGCCAGTTTAGCAAAACCGCAGTGAGCATCTACAGTCTGCCTCTCTTTCACTCCGATCTGTGTAAATCTATGCATCTAACCTGTCTCTCCAACTTCTCTCTCTCTCTCTCTCTCTCTCTCTCTCTCTCTCTCTCTCTCTCTCTCTGTGTCTGTCTGTCTAGTTATGCTGCCCATATGTCGTTTGCATTTGATCCCATCGGGATTCGAACTCGTGTCAATTTCGTATTTAACAGTTTGAGGTGTGTTACCATTCAGCCACATAGAGTTAGGGCTTACCCCCTTAAAAAAAAAAAAAAAAAAAAAAAAAAAAAAGTCGTCGCTTTCCAAAATAAACGTTCGTTTTATCTCCGAATTTAATCCCCCCTTCCTCCCCTTCCTCCCCCCCCCCCACCGTCTTCGCCCGAATAGAACGCACGGTCTTGATAGGCGTATTTCGGGCACCCTTCAGTCTATATGCATGGATAATGACCTTGCGTTCTATTCGGGGGAAGGCGATACGTTCCAGATAGCTCCCCTTCCTCTCTCCGGCTTGCTGCTCCTTCGCGCCACGGCTCCGACCTCGCGGAAGGGCTTTGCTCCTTTGGCCGCGGCTCCGTCCCCCGCGGAAGAGCTTTTTTTGTTTTTGGGGTGTGTGTGTGKGGGGGGGGGGGGGGRGGGGCGCGTTGTTGGAACCACTTGTTTACTTTAAACAGAATAAAGAGTTGAAAAAAGAAAAAAAGGACATGAATGGTGTCTGCGCTGTCCCTGTTTGGCATCCCTCATTGCATACCACCTCGTTTTTCGTCAGTTTTTTTTTCTCTTCAGAATTTTTGCATGTCAAATAAACGTTCTAGTGTAATATGATAATATCAATTTCTTAGGCGAACGCGTTGCCATTCCATCCACGTGGCTTGATCTCATTGGCCGCTCACTCCCGAGCGTTCAGGTCGGTACACGCAAGCGCACACATGAGACGGACTTATACGCAAAGCTCAATGACGTGGGATGGCTATTACCAGGTAGTTAACGTTTTACTAACTAATATTTATATATTTATAAATATAGTAGTACCAGTATTTGGTGGGGGACATTGAAAAAGGGAGGAGGTGCAGCTACTGGCAAAATGCTCGGTCTTTGCGTTAGCAGAACCCCCACTGGCGGCTCCAACCCTGCACCCTAAACCACTAGGGCAAGGGGCAACATGCAATATCCCCTTCACGGTGAGAGGTAGCTATGCGTGCAGGGATCGAACCCCATTATATATAGCCCCTTAGGAGTAGTGGTAGGTAGGTAGGCAGTGAAAGGCAAAAAGGGAATTTGAGAGAATATACTACAGGAGACGTAAAGAGGAGGGCGGGGGGAGGGGGGAGGGGGGAGAAACAGAACAAACCGAAGTATTCTCGAATATTCAAATCTTGATACAATAATTCTCCATAATAATAAATTGAGTCAACAAGAACCTGAAAAAACATCTCAAAATCCTGTCCAATCCTTCCACCCTTTATTTCTTTATCTCAGGCATAAATCGCACTTCCTCCCCTTCTTCCCATCTCTTTTTCACCATATCTTTTTTCACTCTCACTCTCTCTTTCTCACCATCTCTTTCTTTCCCTCTCTCCAGATCTTTTTTTTTTTTTCAGATCTCATTTCTCACCATCTCTTTCTCTTCATTTCTTTCTCACCATATCCTAACTCTCGACATCTCTTTTTTTAACCATCTCTGTTCTCAGTGACATCTCTTAACTCTCACCGTCTCTTTTTCACAGTCTCTTTTTCACCATCTCTTTTTTCACTCTCTTTTTCACCATCTCTTTTTTCACAGTCTCTTTTTCACCATCTCTTTTTTCAGTCTCTTTTTCACAATCTCTTTTTTCACTGTCTCTTTTTCACCATCTCTTTTTTCACTGTCTCTTTTTCACCATCTCTTTTTTCACAGTCTCTTTTTCACCATCTCTTTTT